CATTCCATCGGATGCATGCAGTGGAAAATACAGTAGGAAGATCTATATATATATATAGAGAGAGAGAGAGAACATGAAAAAATGGGTGTAGCCATACACACTATAACAGGGGTTCTCAAACTATAATGAGAGTGATTAGTTAAGATGAGCTATTATCAGCAGGAGAAAAAAACCTTTTGTAGTGATAATCTGCATGGCCCATTTCCAACAGTTGACAAGAAGGTATGAGTAAGAGTAGGGGGGGAAATAAACATGGGGAAATACTTTTACTTTGTGCAATGACCTATCCACTCCCAGACTTTATTCAGGCCTAATTTAATGGTGTCCAGTTTGCAAATTAAGTCCAATTCAGCAGTCTCTCGTTGGAGTCTGTTTCTGAAGTTTTTTGTTGTTGTAATATTGCAACTTTTAGGTCTGTAATCGAGTGACCAGGGAGATTGCAGTGTTCTCCGTCTGGTTTTTGAATGTTATAATTCTTGACGTCTGATTTGTGTCCATTTATTCTTTTATGTAGAGACGGTCCGGTTTGGCCAATGTACATGGCAGAGGGGCATTGCTGGCATATGATGGCATATATCACATTGGCAGATGTGCAGGTGAATGAGCCTCTGATAGTGTGGCTGATGTGATTAGGTCCTATGATGGTATCCCCTGAATAGATATGTGGACAGAGTTGGCAACGGGCTTTGTTGCAAGGATAGGTTCCTGGGTTAGTGTTTTTGTTGTGTGGTGTGTGGTTGCTGGCAAGTATTTGCTTCAGATTGGGGGACTGTCTGAAAGCAAGGACTGGTCTGTCTCCCAAGATCTGTGAGAGGGAGGGATCGTCCTTCAGGATAGGTTGTATGTCATTGATGATGCGCTGGAGAGGTTTTAGTTGGGGGCTGAAGGTGATGGTTAGTGGCATTCTGTTACTTTCTTTTTTGGGCCTGTCCTGTAGTAGGTGACTTCTGGGTACTCTTCTGGCTCTGTCAATCTGTTTCTTCACTTCAGCAGGTGGGTACTGTAGTTGTAAGAACGCTTGATAGAAATGTTGTAGGTGTCTGTCTCTGTCTGAGGGGTTGGAGCAAATGCGCTTGTATCTTAGAACTTGGTTGTAGACAATGGATCATCTGGTGTGGTCTGGATGAAATCTGGCAGCATGTAGGTAAGTATAGCGGTCAGTAGGTTTCCAGTATACGGTGGTGTTTATGTGACCATCGCTTATTAGCACTGTAGTGTCCAAGAAGTGGATCTCTTGTGTAGACTGGTCCAGGCTGAGGTTGATAGTGGGATGGAAATTGTTAAAATCATGATGGAATTCCTCAAGGGCTTCTTTTCCATGCGTCAAGATGATGAAGACGTCATCAGTGTGGCGCAAGTAGAGATGGGGCATTAGGCGACAAAGCTGAAGAAGCGTTGTTCTAAGTCAGCCATAAAAATGTTGACATACTCTGGGGCCATGCGAGTACCCATAGCAGTGCTGCTGACTTGAAAGTATACATTGTCCCCTAATGTGAAATACTTATGGGTGAGGACAAAGTCATAAAGTTCAGCCACCAGGTTTGCTGTGACATTATCGGGGATACTGTTTTTCATGGCTTGTAGTCTATCTTTGTGTGGAATATTGGTGTAGAGGCTTCTACATCCATAGTGGCCAGGATGGTGTTTTCTGGAAGATCACCAATGGATTGTAGTTTCCTCAGGAAGCCAGTGGTGTCTCGAAGATAGCTAGGAGTCCTGGTAGTGTAGGGTCTGAGGAGGGAGTCAACATAGCCAGACAATTCTGCTGTCAGGGTGCCAATGCCTGAGATGATGGGCATCCAGGATTTCCAGGTTTATGGATCTTGGGTAGCAGATAGAATACCCCTGGTCAAGGTTCTAGGGGTGTGTCTGGGCAGATTTGTTCTTGTGCTTTTTCAGGGAGTTCCTTGAGCAGATGTTGCAGTTTCTTTTCCTAACCCTCAGTGTGATCACAGGGTAATGGCTTGTAGAATATAGTGTTAGAGACCTGCCTAGCAGCATCTTGTTCATATTCCGACCTATTCATGATGACGACAGCACCTCCTTTGTCAGGCTTTTTGATTATGATGTCAGAATTGTTTCTCAAATAAATTTGTTAGTTTCTAAAGTGCCACAAGTACTCCTCATTCTTTTGGCTGATACAGACTAACACGGCTACCACTCCAAAACCTATTAATTTATCTAGTTCTCTTTTAAACCCTGTTTTAGTCGAAGGCTTCACAACCTCCTCAGGCAAGGAGTTGGACATGTTGACTGTGTGCAGTGTGAAAAAGAACCTCCTTTTTTTTTTTTAAACCTGTTGCCCATTAATTTCATTTGGTGGCCCCTAGTTCTTATATTATGGGAACAAGTAAATAACATTTCCTTATTCACTTTCTCCACACCACTCAATATTTTATATATCTTTATCATATCACTCCTTAGTCTTCTCTTTTCCAAGCTGAAAAGTCCTAGTCTCTTTAATCTCTCCTCATATGGGACCTGTTCCAAACACCTAATCATTTTAGTTGCTCTTCTCTGAACCTTTTCTAATGCCAGCATATCTTTTTTGAAATGAGGAGACCACACCTGTATGCAGTATTCAACATGTGGGTGTATCATGGATTTATATAAGGGCAATAATATATTCTCCATCTTATTCTCTATCCTTTTTTTAATGATTCCTAACATCCTGATTGCTTTTTTAACTGCCGCTGCACATTGCGTGGTCATCTTCACAGAACTATCCATGATGACTCCAAGATCTCTTTCCTGATTTGTTGTAGCTAAATTAGCCCCCATCATATTGTATGTATAGTTGGGGTTATCTTTTCCAATGTGCATTACTTGACAGTTATCCACATTAAATTTCATTTGCCATTTTGTTGCCCAATCTCTTAGTTTTGTGAGATCTCAGTCTGCATTGGTCTTAACTACGTTGAGCAGTTTAGTATCCTCTGCAAACTTTGCCACCTCACTGTTTACCCCTTTCTCCAGATCATTTATGAATAAGTTGAATAGGATTGGTCCTAGGACTGACCATTGGGGAACACCACTAGTTACCGCTCTCCATTCTGAACACACTGATGGGCGAACTTGGAGAAAATGGTGGCAGCCCTTCGATAGGTCAGCTGGTAGAGCAAATGACTGGAGCCAGCACTCAGGAAGTTATCCTTATGTCGCCCTGGTGATACCAGCTTGAAGGAGAGCTTCTTTTTCTACTCATTGCTGAGAAAGTCCAAGAGAAGAAAGAAAGGTCAGGTGGGTCAACTCAGTGCAGAAGTCCATGCTGTCTTTTCTTGCTTGGGAGCCTGAAATGAGGGACTCATGGCAGGTAAAATCACTGTTGTGATTCTAGAAAACATCCCACCGCTGCACACAAAGGGACCAAAGAATATACCAAATTCTGGGATTGAACCTCTAGATCTTCAGTCTAACACTCTCCCAACTGAGGTACTTCAGCACCTGGAAAGCACTTTTTTAGCCTGCTGCCTCTCTGTCTGGGATGTTTTTGTCAGCTATGGCACACAGAAAGGGCATCATTGTGAGCACCAATGAAGGCAAGATAATTATTTGCCTGCCTTGCTCAGCTTGACTTGCTTGCTCATCCCATTCCTGCCTTAGATCCTGGGTTACATGGTGGCTGAAGGTAGTCCATTGTCTCAAGCAGTGCCAGAGCCTGACACAATGCCCCAGAGCAGACTTTGCTCTGCACATGCCAGACATGCACATTTGCAAATACTTTAAACCTCCTGTCAGTAAGTTCTGGGGACAGTTGCTACCTTCAGAGGAAGTTCCCTAAAATTTGTCTGTCTCACCCAGTGGTACATTGACCTCTGTTCAGACTGAGCCAAAGCGGGGGCCTCACTGCTGTGGCCACCACTGCGGTTAGGGCGGCCAATGATGAGGATGAAGCCATGCTGTAAGCACCTTCCACCTAGCCATCCACTGAAAATCCTGTAGGATGTAAGGTGGGAGTAGAAGAACATTAGAGGGGGTGGGCTTCCTAATCTTCTCCCCCTTCCGTCATCATCAGCCATCCCATACCCGGTGCTGCACCCAGTGGGATCAAAAAAATATGGCCATATCCGAAGAGTCATTTGTGTTCTTTGTGATTGCCCCGCCATTCCCCTCCAGCTCAGCCACCCACTGAAAACTGAAAAATAAAAAAGTAGAGTTGTAAAAGACTTCAAATCCCACCAGGCCCAACCCCCCCTCTAATATGGCAGAAAAGTCACACTTCCCCTGACTAGGTAGGGACATCCTATTGCCCCACAAGTGGAAGGCCATCATGTTCAGTCTCAGCAATACTCGTGGAGCAGGGGAATATACATGGATGAGGAAATTCCCCGCATCCAAAAGATAGGTCTTGAGCATTACAACCTTGTAGGTAATGACAAGGTCCACTCGCATCTTCAGGAACTTTGGTCTGTTTCAAAAGCTGGAGGAAGGGACTTACTTCCCAGACCCGAAAATAACCATTGGGGATGTTGAAATGCCTATCGTTATCCTTGGGGACCCAGCCTACCCCTTAATGCCATGGCTCATGAAGCCGTACACAGGCAGCCTGGACAGGATTCAGGACCTGTTCAACTATAGGCTGAGGAAGTGCCGAATGATGGTAGAATGTGCATTTGGACATTTAAAAGTGCGTTAGCGCAGTTTACTGACTCGGATAGACCTCAGCGAAGCCAATATTCCAATTGTTATTGCTCCTTGCTGTGCGCTCCACAATATCTGTGAGAGTAAGGGGGAGACATTTATGGTGGGGTGGGAGGTTGAGGCAAATCGCCTGGCCACTGATTACGCGCAGCCAGAGACCAGGGCAGTTAGAGGAGTACAGCAGGGCACGGTGCACATCATAGAAGCTTTGAAAACCAGTTTCATGACTGGTCAGGCTAAAGTCTGAAACTTCTGTTTGTTTCTCCTTGATGAAACTGCGCCCCCCTCCGGTTCACTCTACTTCCGAGTAAGCTAGCCACCCTCCCCTCTCCCTTGGATCACTGCTTGCAGAGGCAATAAAGTCATTGTTACTTCACATTCATGCATTGTTTATTAATTCATCACACAAATAGGGGGATAACTTCCAAGGTAGCCCGGGAGGGGTGGGGGATGATGGAAGCACAGGGTTAAATGGGTGAGGAGAGAAGGACAAGGCCACACTGCACTTTAAAACTTTGAAACTTATTGAAGGCCATCCTTCTGTTGCTTGGGCAATCTTCTGGGGTGGAATGGCTGGGTGGCAGGAGGCCCCCGCACCGCGATCTTGGGTGTCTGGGTGAGGAGGCTATGGAACTTGGGGAGGAGGGCTGTTGGTTACACAGGGACTGTAGCGGCGGTCTGTGCTCCTGCTGCCTTTCCTGCAGCTCAACCATATGCTGGAGCATATCAACTCTTGCCTTCTGTCAGCAAGCTGACGCCACTTATCCTCTTCAGCCCGCCACTCACTCTCCTCAGCCTGCCATTCAGCCCACCACCTCTCCTCGCGTTCATATTGTGCTTTCCTGCACTCTGACATTGTCTGCCTCCACAGATTCTGCTGTACTCTGTCAGTGTAGAAGGACAGCAGGAGCTCCGAGAACATATCATCCCGAGTCCACCATTTTCTCCTTCTAATCGTCACAAGCCTCTGCGAAGGAGAAACATTTGCAGCTGGTGGAGGAGAAGGGAGAGGTGGTTAAAAAAGACACATTTTAGAGAACAGTGGGTACACTTTTTCACGTTAAATTTTGCTATTCACATTACACAGCACATGTGCTTTCGTTACAAGGTCGCATTTTTCCTCTTATATTGAAGGCCTTCCGGTTTGGTGTGAGAGATCGTTCACGCAGTGCTAGGCAACAGAATTCGGCTTGCAGGCAGCCATGGTAAACCACAGTCTTTTGGCTTTCTTAACCTTCATAACATGTGGGAATGGTTTCAGACAGCAGCACCCTCATTTCCCATACTAAGTACCCTTTGGGTGGGCCATTAAAATGGGTTTGCAATGTAAAAGGAGGGGCTGCGGTTTCCGGGTTAACATGCAGCACAAACGCAAGTAACTCTCCTCCCCCCCATACACAATTCTCTGGGATGATCATTTCACCCCTCCCCCAGACCGCGTGGCTAACAGCGGGGAATATTTCTGTTCAGCCAAGAAGGAATGGGCACCTCTGAATGTCCCCTTAATAAAATCACCCCATTTCAACCAGGTGACCGTGAATGATATCACTTTCCTGAGGATAACAAAGAGAGATAAGGAATGGATATTGTCTGCATGCCAGCAAACACCGGGACCATACGCTGCCATGCTTTGTTATGCAATGATTCCAGACTACGTGCTACTGGCCTGGCGTGGTAAAGTGTCCTACCATGGCGGACAGGATAAGGCAGCCCTCCCCAGAAACCTTTTGCAAAGGCTTTGGGAGTACATAAAGGAGATCTTTCTGGAGATGTCCCCGGAGGATTTCTGCTCCATCCCCATACACATTAACAGACTTTTCCAGTAGCTGTACTGGCTGTGATTGCCAGGACAAATTTATCATTAATCATTTAACATGCTTCCTTTTAAATCATGTGCAATATTTACAAAGATACACTCACTAGAGTTCCCTTGTGTGCCCTCAGGGTCTGGGAGCAAGCCTTGGGTTAGTTCGGGGGTTACTGATTCCAGATCCAGAGTGATAAACATATCCTGGCTGTTGGGGAAACCGGTTTCTCCGCTTCCTTGCTGTGAGCTATCTTCATTATCTTCATCATCATCTTCCTCGTACCCCAAACCCGCTTCCCTGTTGCATGATTGTCCATTGATGGAGTCAAAGCACAGGGTTGGGGTAGTGGTGGCTGCACCCCCTAGCATGGCATGCTGCGCCGCGTAGAAGCGGTATGTCTGCGGCTCTGCCCCAGACCTTCCGTTTGCCTCTCTGGCTTTGTGGTAGGCTTGCCTTAGCTCCTTAATTTTCACGTGGCACTGCTGTGAGTCACTTTTATGGCCTCTGTACTTCATGGCCTTTGAAACTTTTTCTAATATTTTGCCATTTTGTTTACTACTACGGAGTTCAGCTAGCACTGATTCATCTCCCCATATGGCAAGCAGATCCTGTACCTCCCGTTCGGTCCATGCTGGAGCTCTTTTGCGATCCTGGGACTCCATCATGGTTACCTGTGCTGATGAGTTCTGTGTGGTCACCTGTGCTCTCCCCACTGGGCAAACAGGAAATGAAATTCAAAAGTTCGCGGGGCTTTTCCTGTCTAGCTGGTCAGTGCATCTGAGTTGAGAGCGCTGTCCAGAGCGGTCACAATGAAGCACTGTGGGATAGCTCCCAGAGGCGAAAACCATCGAATTCCATCCACACTATCCCAAATCCAACCCGGAAAGGCCGATTTCAGCGCTAATCCCCTCGTCGGAGGTGGAGTAAAGAAACTGGTTTAAAGGGCCCTTTAAGTCGAAAAAAAGGGCTTCGTCATGTGATCGTGTCCAGGCTTAATTTGATTTAACGCTGCTAAATTCGACCTAAACTCGTAGTGTAGACCAGGCCTGAGTGATCATTTCCAATTGTTTAACCAGACCAGCTTCCACAGCACACTCACTGCTGTGCCATTGTGTAAATGTGTCCATGGCTAAACTGCAAGAATTCCTGCTATTTCTGTTCTGGCTGGAGCATGTTGAGAGTGTGTTTGTGGTTAATGATGTTGCTGTAGATTGTCGTCCATTTCCTGCTTTGATTAATCCTGCCTTAATTCAGACAGTCCCTTTCCCGTCATATTCCCAGAACATCATTGATTACAATAACTGGGGGCAGGTTTTCTCTGGGGCACTAACCTTTGCCACGGTGGGTTTCATGGGAGGGGTAGAGAGGTGTGAACGGTGGGCAGGGCAGGTGTCAGGGGAGGTGTCAGAGAGGTGAGAGGGGTGGGCAGGGCAGGTCTCAGGGGAGGGGCAGATAGGTGTGGGTGGTGGGCAGACCTTCGGGTGGAGGGTGGAGCGGCACGAACAGGACGCAAAGAGGTGTCAGGGGAGGAGAGGAGTGGCCAAAAGGTGGACTAGCTTCTAGCACTCATGCCCAGCCTCTCCAAATGCAAGAGTCATGGGCCACCTATTCTCTGGACCTTCACTAACCAAGTGCCTCCCCAAGCTATGTTGATGGGAGAAGCTCTTCTGTTGACACAGTGCTATCTACACCGGGGTTAGGTTGATATAACTGCATTGCTCGGGGGGTGGGGGGCGTGTAAATTTTGTACACTGGTTGGGAAATTATGCAGTTTGCTCTGTGTATGCAACTGAAATATGTTATGAGGTTGGGAAATGCCCACAACCAGCCTTTCAGGTGCGACTATGGAGAAGCCAGACTCGCTGCTGGCCCATTAAAGGTATCCACACTCCCAAGGACTATCCCAGGAACCGTGTACAATGCAGACTTCTCCAAGATAACACAGAGTCAATGGACACTGCTTGACTCACATCATAGCAAAGATTCACATTTACAGATTCAGACTAACACGGCTACCCCTCTGATACTTGACACCATGCAAGGCACTGCATTTAGCCATATGGAATGGAAATCTATCAACCTCATAAAGAAACTTGCACAAATACAGACAGATATCATCTTCCTTTCCAAATGCAAACTGATGGACATCATACCAAATGGACTGAAGGTGAAAAATCCATTGCTATCTACATACTGCACAGACCACAGTGAGAGATTATGCCATACACTATCATAGAAACTGAGGAACCACCTGATCAGCATCCTATACAGCAAAGAGAAAAACATCAAGAAAGAGCTCTCCAACCTGGAGACTTTCATAAATAACCAACCCTCCACACAAATGGACTTTACTAAAATAAGACAGGAGATCTACATTACACACTTCACCTCTCTACAAAAGAAAAAGGACCGTAAGCTGTCTAAAATTCTACCTGCCACATGGAGCAACAACAGGGGTACCCCTAACTCACCCAGCAATATTGTCAATTTATCCAGCTACACACTCAACCCAGCAGAAGAGTCTGTCCTATCTCGGGGACTCTCTTTTTGTCCCAGCACCCCCACGAACATGATACAGTTATGCGGTGATCTGGAAGCCTACTTTCGCCGCCTCGACTCAAAGAATACTTTCAAGATAACACTGAACAGTGCACTGATACACAGATACCCTCCCACCAACAACACAGGAAGAAGAACTCCACATGGACTCCTCCTGAGGGTCGAAATGACAGTCTGGTCCTATACATAGAATGCTTCTGCCGAT